GGGAGCAGCTGTTGCTAAATGGGGGACAAATTTGTGTTGATTGGGGTGTAAACAACAATACAGTGAAGTCCTGAAACCAAAACCAGCGGGGTCACCAGATTTTCTTCTGTTTAGCAATGTTTTTGGTCCGGGAAGATTGCCCCAATAGCGATGATTGTTGGCAGTGTAGAGTTGCAGACTTGCCCACCCCCTTGTACAATCACCAAATCTTTGTCTTATTTTTGCTTTAAAAATATGCCAAATTTATCTTATTTTCTGAAAGAAAGAATCAACAAACCATTTTCTTTTTTCCGACAAAACCAAAATTTCGCTCACCTGGTGGGGACTAGGGTGCCTGTCAGGCTAGCCGAGGGAAGGAGAGTCTGAATGTCCTTTGTTCGCCGGCTCTCCTTCCTGCTAGCCGGGATGACTCACAGTTTATTTGTCTGCTTCCTCCTTCTCCTTCCTGCTAGCCGTGATGACTCACAGTTTATTTGTCTGCATCCTCCTTCTCCTTCCTGCTAGCCGTGATGACTCACAGTTTATTTGTCTGCATCCTCCTTCTCCGGAGCTAGCTCTTGCAGGAGGACTGGAGGAAGTTGAGAGTCGCTGAGGAATGTCCTCTGGGCTCCCAACTCTTTCTGCAGCCTTTCTACTGCTACTCCTTGGCTCCTTCTTACTGCTGTCTTTCAGCCACACCCCTGATCTTCTGGTAGGAAAGATCTTACACCTAGCCTCCTCGGACAAGGGCGAAAAATCTCGGAGGTCCCGTGTGCAAGATGCGCACGTTAAAGATCCCTTGGTGGTCTAAAATCGACAAGAGTAGGCTTTGGCTGCCACCCTGGCAAAAGTCAAAATTTCCTGCCAACTGAAAAAGTTAAATATGTCCCGCGTACTCATACAGTTGTGAGCGCTGTAAAACACTTTTTTAAAAAAACAAGCAAAAAAACCCCATGTACCTTACTAATGCAAGACCCACCCTATCACTGATCATCAATGATTGCAATGTTGACAAGATGGACAGATTCAACGTGTTCCTCTTTCAACAGGAGGTTCAGAGCAGTTTTTGGGGCGACCACGTGTCTTCATTTGTGAAGGGAGGCTCTCGTGGCCTAGAGGTTAAGCAAAGTGTTGGCCTCTCATTCAAAGGTCCCAGGTAGCGACGGAAACATTTTCTTCTCTAAAATTGTCTCCTTTCAACTCCTTTCCTTCTCTCTAGCAATGTTCTGTCGTCTGCTTTCGTCTCCCCTTTCTGCCCCCACCCCTTCACCTCCTTTGTCCCCTCCTCTGGGCTCCTGACTCTTTCTGCAGCCTTTCCACTTCTTCTCCTTGGCTCCTCCTTACTGCTGTCTTTCTGCCACACCCCTGATCTTATGGTAGGAAAGATCTTACACCTAGCCTTCTCAGACAAGGGCGAAAAGTCTCGGAGGTCCCGTGTGCACGTTGCACACGTGAAAGATCTCTTGGTGGTCTTTGGGCACATTCCACCACACACACATGCTAGGCTCATTCACCATCTGGTCCATGAGCTTCACCTGTTCCAGTTTCTGCCCCAACATCGGCAGTGGGAGCACGGTCATGGTAGATGTCAATGTGTCGCACTTTGGCTTCATGGAATTTTTACTGAGGTCATCAGAAGCAAGCCCTGAGACATGAACTGACCTTGTGGATTTCAGAATTGTCGTCATTCGCATCTCTGTCTGGTGCTGAGTTTGCTGGAAACTTTCGGTGATGCTCAATCAAGTACTTTCTCAGCCATCCGAAAATCTCCAGGCCTGAATGAAGTCTGGCTGCAAGGATATGCAGACACCGTAATCCATTGGATGTTGTGAAGTGGCATCCACACAAGAATCCACCTGCACGTCAGTGCACCCATCCACACTAGAGTCCACCTGCACGCCAGTGCACCCATCCACACAAAAACCTCCACCTGGAAGAGAGACAACCTTGACCTTGACCTATCTAGCTCTGGTAAATTGTTTCTCCATTTCCTCCCCTGCGTACTTTGTCAAATGTCACCTGAACTTCCTCTCGTTCTCTTCTGTTGAGGAAATTGTTTGGTCCAGCATTCTGGCCACCCTCAAGACCTTCACGACAACAAATCCAAGAAAAGAATCATACTGACTGGTCCAAGAACAGAATCAGACTGACTGGTCCAAGAACAGAATCAGACTGACTGGTCCAAGAACAGAATCAGACTGACTGGTCCAAGAACAGAATCAGACTGACTGGTCCAAGAACAGAATCAGACTGACTGGTCCAAGAACAGAGTCATACTGACTGGTCCAAGAACAGAGTCATACTGACTGGTCCAAGAACAGAATCAGACTGACTGGTCCAAGAACAGAATCAGACTGACTGGTCCAAGAACAGAGTCAGACTGACTGGTCCAAGAACAGAATCAGACTGACTGGTCCAAGAACAGAATCAGACTGACTGGTCCAAGAACAGAATCAGACTGACTGGTCCAAGAACAGAGTCAGACTGACTGGTCCAAGAACAGAATCAGACTGACTGGTCCAAGAACAGAATCAGACTGACTGGTCCAAGAACAGAATCAGACTGACTGGTCCAAGAACAGAGTCATACTGACTGGTCCAAGAACAGAGTCATACTGACTGGTCCAAGAACAGAGTCATACTGACTGGTCCAAGAACAGAATCAGACTGGTCCAAGAACAGAATCAGACTGGTCCAAGAACAGAATCAGACTGACTGGTCCAAGAACAGAATCAGACTGACTGGTCCAAGAACAGAATCAGACTGGTCCAAGAACAGAATCAGACTGGTCCAAGAACAGAATCAGACTGGTCCAAGAACAGAATCAGACTGGTCCAAGAAGATTGGAAGTTGCCAACAACTGACTTGATGTGCCCAGTGAGAGATTCCAGCCTGTTTGTTGTTTACTCACTCAGCATCAGGGATTCTGCCTTCAAGCCCATAACCCATTCCTCTGGAATATCATGCCAGTTGCACCTTATGCAGTTGCGAGCGCCGTAAAACCCTGTACTACTACTACTATGCCAGTTGCGCTTGATATAATCAATAACCATGGAAAAATTTCCTTCCTCAAGATATTTCCTTTTGCAAGTGCTGATCCTATTCCTTCTTCAGTACAAGTTTTTGCTGTATGCCAGATGCTGAAGAAGTGCATGAAGGGTGTTCCTTTGCTCAGGTTGAAAGCTCATTTGAACAGAAGTTTTTTCTCTGGAAGAAAGCTCATTTGAACAGAAGTTTTTTCTCTGGAAGAAAGCTCATTTGAACAGAAGTTTTTTCTCTGGAAAAAGAGTGAAGTGTATGACACAAGCAGAGCTCACTTTGGTATGTGGGAATGCAGAACTCAAGATGGATCGCTCAGTAAAATCTTTGTCAATTATAATGACCTTTGTTCTTGAAGTACTAATAGTAATAAATGAATCAAAATGGGATTTGAAAGCTGACACCATCCGGCTCCGAAGATTGTGGGTCTGATTGTGCACCAGAAAAAATCTTGCAGCATGGCGGGCCGTCCTGTCATTGGTCAATTTGTCCACTTCCTCCATCTGAAGCACTTCTATTCAATAAGTGTAATAAATAACCTCCATTTCAGGATCCATAAGTTGGGATTGCCATGCTTGCAGCAATTTCTCTTTTTTGAAAGTTTTTTTTTTCTCGTCTTCCTCTTTTAGTTACAGCAATTTGAGCTGCAGGCTCTAGGCATTATGCTTTCTCTTCAACATTGTCAGCTTGCTTAGTCTGGAACAGTCGCACAGATTTAGACGAGAGTTGATCAGCTCACTGTACTGAGCTCTGCCCAAGTCTAGAAAATGGACAAAGTCCAATGTCAGTGACATCATGCAATACATGCCGGCGTCTGCTCATGTCTATGGTCTTTGTCAACGAACTTTGCAGAGACTATAGTTGATGACCAATTGAAGGTCACACGACAGATGTACATTTGATAGTCAGGGTTCCCAGTGAAATCCCGAAATTCTTTTCCTTCCAGACTCAAATTTTTTTTCCAGACTACCAAAAAAAAAAAAAATCACCAATAAAAAGCTTACTTACCAGAAGTTTTGACGTCTACAAGCATATTAAAGGATGATTCATCTGCTGTAGTGACTAGACAGTCTTAAGAACAGACTCCTTTTTCTGAATATCTTCTTTCAATGACTCCATTCTTCTTCTTTTTTCACAAGTGTGTTCCTTAATGATAATCCATGCGCTGAAGTAAATAGTGCCCACTGGTCATTCATATTGGTTACAGATTCTGCCATACATACGCTTTTCTATCACTTTCTCTTCTCAAAGATGCCACATTGTTGTCCTCTACTTCCAGTTTTCTTTTCTTTCCTTCCTCCACCTCCTCCACACTTTGTCTCCATATTGCCGAGGCGTCCCTGAACACTCTGATAGCACGGCGAGCAGGAAGTGCTGCACACACGCACGTCTTGTTGGGTCCTCACGACTCCTCACGTCAGGTCGTGTCAGTGAAATCTCCGATAGGAAATAAAGAGGGCTCGACTTTTTTTAGCAGCGCCCTTCAGTTGTGCGTGGCAGTATATTTTCAGCCTTAGAAGACATAGCCCTCAATCTTTTTGGTTTAGAAATAAGAGCATTTTGACAAAGCGATAGTTTTCTTACAAAGAAGAAAAAAAATGGGGATTCTATTTTCTTTTGGTTCACTGCTGTTTTTGGATGAACCGTGTTTGGTTGAAGCAGACTTCACTGTATGTCAATGTTTTACTTGTCTGGGCAAGCCCGGCCTGGGCTGGGTACGATGCTCCATCAAACCTCCAAGTGGAAGTGGCACTCACATCTTCAGTAATCTGGCTTCTGCGGTTGTCGTGGCTGCGGTTTTTGGCATTTTTTGGTCCCCGAATCGCGGCCGCGATTTTTGCTACTTCATAACAAATTAGATATGTGTATTTTTGATCATGTTAAGGTGTCTATGTATAGTTATTTTCAGGCGAAGAATGTAGGTACTCTGGGACCTTACTGTAAATTACATATATATAAACTTTTATTTTTGCTGTTTGTCTTTCATTTCTCTCTTTGTTGTTTGAGTTTGTTGTTGTTGAATTTGTTGAGATGTTGTTCTGACGTGTTGGTTTTCTATGTTGTAATGTTTCTACAGCGCAATGGCATTTCAGTTGATGTTGTTCCTACATTTTAAAAGAATATAAATGTGTTATGTTAAAGCGTGTCTCCACCAAAACTGAATACTGACTCTGGCCGGCCCCTTGTGGGTGATTCCACTCATTGACTTGTCATATGGCCTGTACTTTTTCTTGAAATACACACGTTTACAGTTTAAATGTCCTGTACTTTTTCTTGAAATACACATGTTTACAGTTTAAATGGCCTATCTTCGGAAAGGTGGACACACGCCCTTATTTGGTAATATTTGTGGTTGTTTATTTGCTGTTCTAATTTTGATTTCCTTCTGTTGTGAAACTTTAATAAATTTTTCACGTTTTTACACTGTGTGTGGCTACAAATGATATTCTGGATGTTTGAAACAGAGGACAAGAAATTCTGGTGCTTTCGATTGTTTCCCTAATCAACATATCAGTACGTCGTCACAGAGAGCTTGTGGGTGGTTGGCGGGTGCTCTAGTGTTGTTTGCTTCTTCTTTCCTATCAAACATTTATCATCCTTGTCTTCCCTTCTTCTTTTTTATATTTGTTACTCTCTTGTAACACGTTTAATCTTCTGGCGCTCATATGACCTTATGCAGACTTTGCGAGCGCCGTAAAACCTCTACTAAAACTTTTAAAAATGAAATCTTGAAAATGAATGGTAACTTTTATGAAATAAATGGCAACAAACGCAGATGCTAGAGTAGCACACAATGTAGTGAAGAGCCTGACAAAGAGATGCCAGTTTGGTGGGTAAACCATTTAGATATTGTCATTCTTGTTAAAGCCAACTTTCCAGGTGGTCCTGAGGTCCTGTGTAAATGACACAACGACAACAATGAACTGGTCAGTTATGTCCTGTGTAAATGACATAACAACAATGAACTGGTCAGTAATGTCCTGTGTAAATGACACAACAACGACAACAATGAACTGGTCAGTAATGTCCTGTGTAAATGACACAACGACAACAATGAACTGATCAATGTGCAATAAAAATCCAACACATCGGGATGGTCGTTGTTTGTGTTTTATTCGTGCACTTTGTTTGTTCTGTACAGGTATCACAAACGTCATGTCAACAACACAACCCACAGACACAACCCACAGACACAACCCACAGACACAACTCACAGACACAACCCACAGACACAACCCACAGACACAACCCACAGACACAACCCACAGACACAACCCACAGACACAACTCACAGACACAACCCACAGACACAACTCACAGACACAACCCACAGACACAACTCACAGACACAACTCACAGACACAACCCACAGACACAACCCACAGACACAACCCACAGACACAACCCACAGACACAACCCACAGACACAACTCACAGACACAACCCACAGACACAACTCACAGACACAACCCACAGACACAACTCACAGACACAACTCACAGACACAACTCACAGACACAACTCACAGACACAACTCACAGACACAACTCACAATTGCCGGAGTCAGTTTTTGTTGTTTGGAGAAAAACTTTGATTGTGTTTACCGAAGTCAATCCAATGACTTGAGCAATAGTGAAAAAAGACTAAAATGAGAACTGGAACTTTGAGTAGAGGAAACAAAACCCTTCTCTTCTGAGGAGACAGGAGAGACCAGAAACCTTGAACCCAAAAGCCATTGTTTTAGTTTTCTGATCACGATTGTTTTCTGATCAATCACTGCAAATTTCTGCAACCAGCCCAAGAACTTGCATGTGCAACCTGATCACGAATGAGGCTTAAGTCACTTTTTTGAAGAACATTGCTATTCTCTATAGTAACTTGCAGCGGGAAGAGTTGGGGTTTGAATCCAACTTGCACACTAGATCTATAGTGGATGTAGTCAAAGTGCCTTATCATGAGCAGACAAAATTTCCAAGGAAACGCTCCAGTATCGTGACTTCAGTATCGTGACTTTAGCCTCATTTTCCCAGGTAGCCTAGGCATCTTAAAAATGACAAGGAAAGTGTCCATACAAACAAAACGTAACATCCAGACAGACAGACTGACTGACTGCCCAATGCGATAAATAAAAATGATCTTATGACATGACACGGTGGAGTCGGGTGCTCTTCTATTTTTGGGCATATGGAGTTGTCGATATAATCTCACTTCATTTACTTTCCTTTTGAGGAGGACAAAATGTTCTTTGATTACTGGGCAACCTTTCCCGTGACCACAGTTTTTACCACAGTAGCCTACTGACTTACTTACTGACTGACTGACTGACTGACTGACTTACTGACTGACTTACTGACTGACTGACTTACTGACTGACTGACTGACTGACTTACTGACTGACTTACTGACTGACTGACTGACTGACTGACTGACTGACTTACTTACTTACTGACTGACTGACTGACTGACTGACTGACTTACTGACTGACTTACTGACTGACTGACTGACTGACTTACTGACTGACTGACTGACTGACTGACTGACTGACTGACTGACTGACTGACTGACTGACTGACTGACTGACTGACTTACTTACTTACTTACTGACTTACTGACTGACTGACTGACTGACTTACTGACTGACTGACTGACTTACTGACTGACTGACTTACTGACTGACTTACTGACTGACTGACTGACTTACTTACTGACTGACTTACTGACTGACTGACTGACTTACTGACTGACTGACTGACTTACTGACTGACTTACTTACTGACTGACTTACTGACTGACTGACTTACTTACTGACTGACTGACTTACTGACTTACTTACTGACTGACTGACTGACTGACTTACTGACTTACTTACTGACTGACTGACTGACTGACTTACTTACTGACTGACTTACTGACTTGCTTACTATTACAATGATGAGCAGGGAAAACTATTTTGTCATGTTCCTTAGATTTGTGGTCCTGACTTATTATCCCTTCCCCCCAACAATGTCAACTCATCCGTAGTCAACTGTACTGTGTGACTGTGACTGTACTGTGTGACTGTAACTGTACTGTGTGACTGTACTGTGTGACTGTACTGTGTGACTGTGACTGTACTGTGTGACTGTACTGTGTGACTGTGACTGTACTGTGTGACTGTGACTGTACTGTGTGACTGTACTGTGTGACTGTACTGTGTGACTGTACTGTGTGATTATATGACAGCCGAGACTGAGGGAGGTAGCGGTCGTCTGGTGCCAGATATAAAATAGCGCCAAACTTTGGTGACTTCCACTTCTAAAGCTGTAGCCTTTGGAAACTGCAAATTTACAGTTTTTGTTCCTAACTAGGATAATTTTACAGTACAATCCACACAGGAATAAGGAATGTGCTTTTCAATGGAAATGTAGATAAAATGTGTCGAACCCATAACAAAAAATTTGATAAGAATTTCCCAACTGTGGAACAAAGTCAGGTATCTATAATTTCATGACTTTGACGAGTGCCTCATTTCACCATGATGCTACACACAAAAATAAAAATTTTAATTGCCCAAATCATTAAACGAAAAATTTGATTTTAATTTCCCAACTGTGGAAAAATGATATCCACCATAGTTGATTGTTGTTTCAAATAACGACCAATTTTTTTTTTCTTTTCAATTTTCTCACTGGCTTAGGCCGTCACTCGCAACACAAATGGACAGGATATTTTTAGCACCTTGTCGGAATCAGGGGTATTACGACCATATTTCGTAAATTCGAAGAGAAACCACAAAGATTCCACCAAATTCGTAATAATGGGCTGCTCTGTGTACATATATGGTCTCATAACGAAAAATTTGATTAAGATTTCGCAACTACAAAAATGTTGCTTTCTTCCAATTTCATTGTGACGAGCGCCAGATTTCACGTCCATGCCTCACAAATCTTACCAAAAAATTGATTAAAATTTCCCAACTGCGGAAAAATGTCCATCTCAATCTCATTGTGACGAGCGCCTCAGTTCACCATGATGTCGCACAGTGTTTTCAGAGGAAACATTTTTTTTTTCAATTTCCCAACTGCCGAAAAATGTCAATTTCTTAAATTTCATTGAGACAAGAGTCTCATTTCACCTCAATGGCGCACAAACGTTTTCATAACAAAAAATTTATTTTATTAAAATTTCCCAACTGTGAAAAACTGTCAGTTTCTTCAATTTCATTGTGACGAGCGACTGATTTCACCTCGACGCTGCACAAATGTTTTAGTAATGAAAAATTTGACGAAAATTTTCCAACTGTATAAAAATGTCAGTTTCTTCAATTTCATTGGGATGAGCATCTGATTTCACCTCGATATCGCACAAATGTTATGAAAAATTTAATGAAAATTTCCCAACTGCATAAAAATGTTGAGTTTCTTCAATTTCATTGTGACGAGGGCCAGACTTCACCACCACGTCTCACAAATGATGACGAGGGCCAGACTTCACCACCACGTCTCACAAATGATTTCATACAACAAAAAATTTGATAAAGAAAGGATGCTTCCTCACGTATCCAATACCAGAGCTGATAGCAGGGCAGTTCATCATGCACGGTCGCTAGTGACGTCATGACACGTGCACTGCCATGTAAGGTCGCTAGTGACGTCATGACACATGCACTGCCATGTAAGGTCGCTAGTGACGTCATGACACGTGCACTGCCATGTTGGGTCACTAGTGACGTCATGACACGTGCACTGCCATGTAAGGTCGCTAGTGACGTCATGACACATGCACTGCCATGTAAGGTCGCTAGTGATGTCATGACACGTGCACTGCCATGTTGGGTCACTAGTGACGTCATGACACATGCACTGCCATGTTGGGTCACTAGTGACGTCATGACACATGCACTGCCATGTTGGGTCACTAGTGACGTCATGACACATGCACTGCCATGTAAGGTCACTAGTGACGTCATGACACATGCACTGCCATGTTGGGTCACTAGTGAAGTCACAACGACACACGTACCGCCCAAGTGTCAAATGGTTTCGCTACCCAGACCCACTCGGGTGTTGCTTTGGTAGTGAGTTCAAGCTGATAACAGTCTCGAGAAAACTCCACACTTGAACAAAAAGTCTGGAGAATCTCCAGCAGGCAGCAAATGACCAACGTGCACCAGCCAGCTGGTAAGAGCAAAAGTGACAGAGTTAACAGAGAGACAAAAGGTTGAGAAGACTGGAGAGAGGCCAGTCGTGTCCGATGCCAGTGGGTGGCACACTGGGACAAACCTCCTCATCTCTCAATCATCACACAAGTGTGTGTGCGTGTGTGTGTGTGTGTGAGTATGGGTGTGTGTGTGTGCGTGTGCGAGTGATGGAGAGAGGGAGACAGAACAACAGAACACCCAGTGCCACAGTGTGACAAATCTCCTCATCTCTCAATCATCACACAAGTGTGTGTGTGTGAGTGTGTGTGTGCACGCGCGCGCGTGCGATGCAAAGATGGAAACAGAGCGACAGAATACCCAGCCATCCAGTTATTGCGCGACATAGGTAGCATAAACATGGCTTGTGGCCGTCTGAGCATATTATTTCGGTAAAATTGGGGTCATTCAGATCGCCCTTTCTTTGTTCTGTCCCAACCAAATAGCAACATGGAGAAACAGCTGATGAGAAAATTTCCCAATATGTGAGGCAGCGTGGTGGAATCAGGCTCTCGCCAATTTAGGGGCATGATTTTGGTATCATCGTAAAGATTGTTCATTTGTCTTTATTTAGGTGAAAAAAGTATCCATTTATCTTGAATACAAGTCGAGATATTTGTGAATGAAGGAGGTGGGGGTCATCTGCTTTCAGAGGTAAGATTAGTGAGAAAATGGCCGCCAAAGATTAGTTATTTCCTTAGCTTAAGAGTCCGTGGTAACTGAAAATTTTCATTTTTTGTGCCTTTAATCAACGTTTTTCAGAAAATTCCATACAGAAATGAGTTCTTTAAGTTTAATAGGCATGAAAGGTGTTGAGCCAAAAAACAAAATTTGAAAAAAATTCACAAACCTGTGGAAAAATGCAAGTTTCTTCACTTTGATTATTTTGACGAGAGCCAGATTCCACCACGCTGCCTCACATATTTCAGTTTGATGACATCAAACCACTCGCTGCTGCTTTCTCAACAGTTGACAGACGTAAAAGAACAAAAGCTTTTCCTACAAATGGAAGAGATAAGTTTGTCCTAGTTTGAGAAAACAGTACCTGACCTACACGACAGAGTGAGGGTGAGAAAGACGACCTCCACGACAGAGTGAGGGTGAGAAAGACGTCCAATGCCAGCCTTGGAAAACACTCACACCAAACCTAACAATCTTTACCTCCCATCCTGTGTCATCTCTACAAGAAAATGTCAAGTTGCTGACAAAATGAGTCACTTTTCACTATCAAAGAATGAAAATATCGGCCAAAAATGGACACAAGGGTCATATTTATAGATTCTAATCCAATGGCATTCTCTTCAAGTATAACTTCATACTGATGAATAGTACAAACTCAACCAATAAATTTGACGCATCTATTTCCATTGGGCTAAAATCGGAGAAGTAACTCATTTTGTCAGCTCACCTTACAGCTTTGCCGAAAATATAGATAGCTTAGAATGGACACAAACATTTCATATATATATACAATACATATTATAATTCTAAAAGTAATTCTGCTTAAGAAAACTAAGTACCTTGAAATAGACTTATCTCACATTTCTATTTTCCAAACCGGATGCCTGCCCAAGGTGTGAAAGACTCAAAAATCAGTGAAAAGTGAACGTAGGCACAGTGACAACACAACAGGTCAAAGGTTGAACCAGGAATGGACAAACAGAGGAACGTTTTCTCCTTCTACGTGTGCTTGACAAACACACTCAGGGACTGGACAAGTTTTGCTCTCACCACCAGCAAAACTAAGAACTGAACCAGACAGTAGACGGTTCACACCAGCAAAACTAAGAACTGAACCAGACAGTAGACGGTTTACACCAGCAAAACTAAGAACTGAACCAGACAGCTTAAACCAGCACACAGCTGTATCTCCCAAGTTCAACACTGATAAGGCAAAATCCTTTACTGTTCAGCCACTGTGCATTTTACATAAACAATTGTTTCAATATTTACAAGAACAAACAGTCCTGGTGTAATGTAGTCATAGTCCTAGTGTAATGTAGTCATAGTCCTAGTGTAATGTAGTCATAGTCCTAGTGTAATGTGGTCATAGTCCTAGTGTAATGTGGTCATAGTCCTAGTGTAATGTGGTCATAGTCCTAGTGTAATGTAGTCATAGTCCTAGTGTAATGTGGTCATAGTCCTAGTGTAATGTAGTCATAGTCCTAGTGTAATGTAGTCATAGTCCTAGTGTAATGTAGTCATAGTCCTAGTGTAATGTGGTCATAGTCCTAGTGTAATGTGGTCATAGTCCTAGTGTAATGTGGTCATAGTCCTAGTGTAATGTAGTCATAGTCCTAGTGTAATGTAGTCATAGTCCTAGTGTAATGTAGTCATAGTCCTAGTGTAATGTAGTCACTAGTGGTACCAGTAGTAGCACAATGACTGGTTGGTTGGTGAGGCCGGAGGAAAACCGTAAGGTGACACGGGAACCCCACACGCGACGCACCAACAGAGGATTCCTGTTTACCATAGCACCCTCACAGCAACCCACGCTGCTGTCAACTGTCACTGTAGTGAGTGACATAACACCCTCACAGCAATCCACTGTGCTGTCAACTGTCACTGTAGTGAGTGACATAACACCCTCACAGCAACCCACGCTGCTGTCAACTGTCACTGTAGTGAGTGACATAACACCCTCACAGCAATCCACTGTGCTGTCAACTGTCACTTTAGTGAGTGACATAGCACCCTCACAGCAACCCACGGTGCTGTCAACTGTCACTGTAGTGAGTGACATAGCACCCTCACAGCAACCCACGGTGCTGTCAACTGTCACTGTAGTGAGTGACATAGCACCCTCACAGCAACCCACGGTGCTGTCAACTGTCACTGTAGTGAGTGACATAGCACCCTCACAGCAACCCACGGTGCTGTCAACTGTCACTGTAGTGAGTGACATAGCACCCTCACAGCAACCCACGGTGCTGTCAACTGTCACTGTAGTGAGTGACATAGCACCCTCACAGCAACCCACGGTGCTGTCAACTGTCACTGTCAACTGTCACTGTAGTGAGTGACATAGACGGGGCCCTCCTCAAACCAAACACCTTCACCATGGACCAATATGGGGCTGGCCAACATGTCAACAACTGGCAAATTTCTTCTTAAAACCCCCCCACCAGTTAATTCCAGTTAATTTAGCACTGCAAAATGAAAGTCGAAATTGTTTTATCAGCATGAAGAGTCCCATGGAATTGGAACTCGTATACTAGGCTAATGCTTCCCACATGATGCATTTCCTGTCTTCTACAAGAAAGATCACAAGAGACGGTTCAACTTGTTCACCTCTCTGTCACAAGAGACGGTTCAACTTGTTCACCTCTCTGTCACAAGAGACGGTTCAACTTGTTCACCTCTCTGTCACAAGAGACGGTTCAACTTGTTCACCTCTCTGTCACAAGAGAGATACAGAGGAGCACAGACAACCCGCACACGTTAAACTCTTCATTTATGGACAGCTCCCACAATATGCCATTCCCTGATAGAACAAAAGTCTATATTTTCTTTGTAATTGTACTGGCAGTAGGCCTCCCCATGTACTGTTTTCTCAAACACCTGCACACATGTGTCCAACAGCTCATCTCAAAAAGTCTGATCAAATCTGTCCTCCCAACTTCATTGACTAGAGAAAAAGGCACACACACTATCCATCCTTCCGTCATTTCTACCCAGAACGTGTCACAAAGGCAGAGATTATTTTTGGGCTATTAAACGTCACTTACTTCCCTTGACCTTCTTCAATGTATCTCTTATTTTTCATGATCAGTTTCCTGGAATTACCGATGTGTTGTCAAGCATTTGCCGAGCCCCAACGTGTCTGAGAGATATCCATGCTCATCTGTAGTTACACAAAATAGTAACACCTCAGTGATTTCTTGGTGTATCTCCATTTTGTAAAACAGTGAAAATGTGACATCTTCTTCAGCTCACTTTTTTATTATGAACTGTTTTCACTGTTATACAAAAATGGAGGTACGACAAGAAACGACTTGTTCACCTCTGTGTCACAAGATAGTCGCACTTGATCACCTCAGTCACAAGATAGTTACACTTGTTCACCTCTGTGTCACAAGATAGTCGCACTTGATCACCTCAGTCACAAGATAGTTACACTTGTTCACCTCTGTGTCACAAGATAGTCACACTTGTTCACCTCAGTCACAAGATAGTCACACTTGTTCACCTCAGTCACAAGATAGTTACACTTGTTCACCTCTGTGTCACAAGATAGTCACACTTGTTCACCTCAGTCACAAGATAGTTACACTTGTTCACCTCTGTGTCACAAGATAGTCACACTTGTTCACCTCTGTGTCACAAGATAGTCACACTTGTTCACCTCTCTTCTTCATCGCTAGATGACTGTGAGTCTACACGCGTTGCCCGAAAACGTCGTTTCTTTGCCCGTGGAGCCTTCCTGAAGTGGACAGTTTGAGGTTTCATCTGTCGGGCGGCACAGTCGATGACGCGAGGTAGAGTAGCCAGATCTTTATTACACACAGGGGAACTGGGCGATTGGTTGCTGGGGACACAGCATTCGTTATCTTCCTTGTTCTCTGTCGATGAACTGGAAGATGAGGAAGCAAAACATTTGGTGGTACTCAGTGACGATGACGACGACAACGATGATGATGAAGAGACACAACTTAAAGACGTCTGCCGGTCAGGGGGCGACAGCCTGTTGGGGTGGGCAGTATCCGAGTCAGTTCTATTTACAGCAGCAGCACCCTTGGTTGACTCCTCAGCCGTCCCAGTAACACTTTTGTTGTTACTCAGTCTAATTATAGATCGGAACGAAGCGTCGGAATCTGAGCGGTCAATGGTGACAGAGTGGAAAGGCTGGGAGTGAGAGGGGGAGGACGCGGAGTTGTTTCTGGTTGTGGGGATGTTCACGGGAGCCGTGAGGAGACGGGACGAGGAAGGGGAGGAGATGGGAGGAGGGTGGGCACGTCTGCTGGACAAGAGGAGAGGCGAGTTCCCCCTGTCTCCGCCCCCATCAGCCCCGCCCCCCCTCGTCCTGCTCGGCCTGACAGCTGGCGGGAGATCAGTGCTGGGTGTGAGGCTCTCCTCTCCACCACCATTGGTGTGTACCTTGGTGTGTTGCT